ATCTTTCATCTTGTTCAGCTGATTGCTAGTTGGAAAGAACTCTTGATAGGGAACATCGCCCATAGGCAAACCAGACACCTGCATCATTTCATGCAGTGGTAATCCGAGTTCCCCGTTCTTGGTAAAGAATGTATTAGTGTCCGGGTTATAGATCTCGAACAAGCAGAGGAAATGACCTACACTACTCTGTAGGCCATGCATGGTGGCACGAATCGGGACATCTAACCCTAATTCTGCTAACTCTCGCCCAAAGCGGTTTAACACATATCGGGTCATCCTGGTCCACCACCATTTGTCCCCAGAATAATGGACCCATCCATAGCATCTAAAAGTCTCTTTGGGTAATCTTTTGCCCGCTGCCGCTAACCGGTTCTTCACGGTGTTGGCTTGCACTATCTTTTCATTCTGAGGTATATTATCTTGTCCCAAGATACCCGGATGAAGCCCCCGCACATGAGCTCTTTCACTGGAGCCTGGGTTGGCTTCCTTCCCAATAAAACCACAATGAATACGCTCGTGATTTTCAGTCAACTTCCAGAACATCTCACGTCCAACTGATAGATTCCTGAACATTAATAGTGAGTGATCCCGGGGGATAAAAGGCAGATATAAGAATGAGGACCCATTCTGGTGCAACCATTGCGCAGGCTGGCAGAAAGCAATCTTCGGATCTTTTACCGAGTCACCAAATAAGAAATCTGGCTTCCTTATGCATTGATTCGAGTCTTGCTCCGAGATCAAGGGCGCATCTGTGATTAATCGTCGTAGAACACGACAACTACCTCGCTGGATTAATTCTCTATCACTTCCACTATAATCAGATTTAAACTGGGGAGAGGATTCAATTAACGGGATCCCCTCGTAATAAGAGTGGGTCACGCTACTCCGGCCAGTAATCACATCAGCAGTAAATGTGGTAGAAGGAAATCGGACTGATAAAAGAGGCATACACATAAATTGTGTAAGTGTCATCCTAAAATTTTAGAGAAAAACGGTATATCTCATTCTATAAGATATAGTCGTTATCTCATAACAGGTGTGACGATTTTCTATCCACCATATGTATAAAGGAGGTATGCGGGCATTATAACGGCATACCAAAACCTTTCAATACATATGGGATGATGTAAAATCGCCCCTGTGTATTATGAAGTGTGTTTTGTCAAAGCAAAACAAACACTTTTAAGCGTCGATCCCCTCAAAGGAGGATACCGGCTCTTCTCGAAGGTACCTCAAAGGATACAAACGAGGATCTGCAAGCAAAAATAGGAACATACATATGGAATGGACGAAATACAATATTTAAATTCGTGAAAAGGTGAAAGAAATATACCTCCACGTGAGGGTGCAGCAGGGGCAGCCTCCTCAGGGCTCTGAACAGTCGGTCGGATTCCCTTCCCTCGAGCTCTACGTGGCGACATGATGAGTATGTGATCTACATTGAAATCCAAGAGGAAGGTTAAGATTTTGAACATGAAATCGACAAAAAATAGGACAAATACAACCGAAATGATGCATGCACAGTCACAGTTGAAGGAGAGTCAAAATTTTGGAGAAAAGGGGAAGAACAAACCTTTGAAATCTGAGTGAAATCTTCCCAAACAAGAGCACCTCCCAAGTCGGCAACAAAGAGGAGAAGAAATAGAAGAAAACTGGTCGAAAATCGCCCAAGAATCGCCCAAAAAATCGCCAAAATCCGACGTAAAAAACCCTAAAACCCTAAGTCCCGACTTATATAGCAGCCGGGCGAGACAGGAAACTCTGTCTCGCTGAGCGAGACAGACAACTCTGTCTCGCCGAGCGAGACAGAAAACACTGTCTCGCCCAGCGAGACAGAAAACTCTGTCTCGCCGAGCGAGACAGTAAACTTTTCTGTTTTGCACTATGGAACAGTGGAATACTCCAATGGGTACACGAGTCTAAACTGTATTCCCACCCTCAACAGGAAGTTTCTGGAGAATATTAATCTGAATATTCTTAAGGATAACCTGAGGAATTCTCAATGGATATACCAATTCAATGGTAAACGCTGAATTCACAAGAGCAAGTATCAACTTCAATTCAAGATCTCGACAACGGTCAAGCGATAAACGCGACGCCGGGAGAACGTTAGCTATTCTACGAAGAACTGGATAGACTAACAGCAGAAGAGGTTAAACATTGAAGCCATTTACAAGTCCTTTCATACGATCTATTCAGCCAAGCATTGAAGGGATCGTAAGTAAAATCTATCTTATCCAAAGTATCCCATGCTCCTCTATAAAAGAATGAGTCTGGAATACTTTGGAGGGGGTATCTGTAGGCGTCAAAAAATGCTAATAGATATCCCAAGCATAGAGAAGATCACTCAAAAATTCACAAGAAAGGATTTCATACTGTTTTGGAAAAATCAAAACAAGTATGAACTGTCTCGCCAGCGAGACAGTCTTTGCTGTCTCGCCAGCGAGACAGTGTTGAAATAGTCAAAACTACATTTGTAACTGCCCTACACGTGTCCATTAACTGCCAAGGGACGTGGGAAACATCATGGGCGAAAATCACGTGGATAACTGCCAAAATAACGGAGTTTGAAACGTGAGAGAACAGTTACAGCGAGAAACTGCCATTTTCCGAGACAGCATTTACTGTCTCGCTGAGCGAGACAGCAAATTTACTGTCTCGCGGGTCGAGACAGCAAACGCTGTCTCGCCCAGCGAGACAGTAAACACTGTCTCGCCGTACTGACTTCTTCGATTGTTAAGTTTTTGCAGTTACAGACCCTTGAGGCTATAAATACCCCCCTAGGGTCACTTCTGACGAGGATCGAGCATTTGTTAGAGCATTCCAGAGCAGAGAGAGCAGAGATTTGGATTCTTTTCTTGCAACGCCTTGAAATTAAGCTTTGACTTGATTTTAAGAAGAACGACTATCTTACTTCGATAAGATATCGTTTCAATTTCTACTTCGATAACGAGGTTAGAATCATAAGCCCCCCTCTTCACGATCTGTGAATCGGCGGTCCACGAACCAAAGCGTTCCCGGCACAGGCAAAGTCCCACGAAAACGAGAATTGATAGACGATTTTCGTGTTTGTTTCTCAAGAGTTGTAATTTTTGATTTGTTGTGTAGAAAAAGTCTTATAAAAAGATTATTCTTTCGAATTTGTTGTAATCGAACAAAGTTATAATGAATTCCACAGCAGCGACTTTTGAACCAAACAAATGTCATCCCCCCAAATAGTTTCAGAGAATATAGTTAATGATGCTTGCTGATTGATCTTCCTATATATAGAAGATATACTGATATTTCCATAATCACAGCAGCCATTGAGGATGTTTAATAGGTTATCAACATTTCCAAATTTTATTCTCATTGTATCTCTTACTCTTAGCATTTGCTTCAACATCCATGAATCATTCTCTTTAGGTTGAACTTCCCAAATATTTTAGTTAAGCTAGTTCTATGTTTTGTTCATTATTTAATTCATTAAAAATGTCAGTACAATCAAACATAATTAGCTATAATTTGAAAACTTGGCATCATCATTGGGAGGATAAAAATAATTAAGTTGCCTTTAAATTTAGTGTCTAAATAATGAAGTCAATCATTCAATACTTATATTTATTTCTATATTATGTACCATGTTGACAAAACTTAGCAAATCCAAAGTATGATGCAATTTCAGTCAAAGTCATGGTTACTTGTAGGTGTTCTGTTTTCAAGCAAAGACAAAGGATAAGAACTAACAAACTCATGCAATTTCACTCAAAGACGAGAGCAAAGAAGTGAAGAACTAACAAATATCGATATGTGATTAAATAGTTATCGATATCTAATCCCTAGTAAGAAATAGTCCCAAGACTATAATAACAGCCTCCTCCCCTCCCTTGTTTGGTCCGGAATCTCTGGACTACTTTATTTTAATGGACTAAATGATCCGTTCTAATTCCCTTCAAATTTTGAACCTCGTCCCACTATGCCAATTTAAAGGATAAAGTGTTATTACCGCAAAATAATACTCAATCCAAACATGGCCTACAATTTTAGCTAGCTAGAGTTGACCTTAAATGGTTTTGAAAAGTTATTGAGTATACCGGTGGCAGAGAATGGGTTGAAGACAAGGGTAAACAGGGGGGGGGGGGGGAAGAAAACTAAAGTCGCCTGTTAGTTTTATTTGGGCTATTCTTTTGAAATTAAACCATAAGGACTGGTTACGAACAAATTAAGGGATCTAGTGGTCTTATTTCAATATGAATATTTGGGGGACTTATTTCAAAATAGATGAGACTTGGGATACCAATATCTCAAAATTTTACCTTTTTTGGCTTTTGACTCTTGTCATGGATTTTCTTTCTTTTTTCCCTTTGTTCTTAAAAATAAAAGGAGAAAAGTCCTCTTTTATTTTGCATTCCCAAGGTCTAATCCAGTGACCTTTTCATGCCACAGAGATAGCATTTGTATGCTTAATCCCTACGAGTTCCCTAAGGAATTTTTGTTACACAGCCTTTACGAATTGGAGTAAGGTTTTAATTACTGCTTAGTTTTCTCGACATCGAGAGTTGCAATTTGTCGATTGGTTATATGAACTAGAAAACCCACTCGATTACTAACAAATATATGCAACCTTGTGAAGTAACTCAAACTCAAACTGTTAATAAAGTTATGGAAATGGAATGGTTCGAGTCTTTTGGTATCATGATTATCACAAATGTTCATGCTGCTCAATCACCGCCTTTGTGAAGCTGTAGGTTCTTTCAGTTGCACTATAAACAGATGTATGGTTTGAGTCGTTTGGTATCATGATTATCATAACTTTCCATGGTGTTCAATCATCACCTTTGGTGTAGGTTCTTTCAGTCGCACTATAAACGGAAGACATGGTCATGAAATTTTAGCATTTCCACTTTGTTTTGGCATTTCAATTCCCATCTTAATTAGAAAGCATTTCATCATAATTCTTTGGGGATGGGTAGGTCAACAGTCCGTTCAGCATGATGCAGTAAACAAATCCATATGTTTTCTAGCTTTTCCCTTGTGAAATTGCAATGTTCACTTCTTTAATATTTTCTTGTTGCAGCTGTATATCCGACACCAACTTATACTGCTCCACTGTTGCCCCCAGTCCCACCGGACAGTGATAGCACAAACACAACTGTAAGTCATAGTACTCAATTCCGATCATCATTACTGTGTCTTCCAATTTGGCTTAATATTTCCTCTTTGCTACAGATATTTGTTGGTGGCTTGGACCCTAATGTCGGTGAAGAAGAACTGAAGCAGATCTTTTCACAATTTGGAGAACTTATCTATGTTAAGATCCCTGCTGGAAAGGGATGTGGCTTTGTGCAGTTCAGCACTAGGTACATTCGGAGTGGATCCACTCTTTTCTAAGACAACAATCTGAAATATGGAAATCATTTTATTATTCTTGCTCTCCGATATGTGTTTGCTTTCTTAGGTTTTGAGACCTGTTTCATGGTCTATCGTCCTTCCATGTTTTGGGAGATGCGTCCTCTTTTATAGGTAGCGTTGGCTGTTTGTCTGTGATCATTCTTAATGCAGACCCTCTTATTCACAAGAGATTGATGTGTCTTTTTTCCCTTTTCTTTGAATTTTTTATTGTCTTAAAATATTATGCATAGCCTGCAGATACCAGTCTTCCGACTCATAAAGATACTGCATTTCCTATTTCTGTTTTTGGGATCTCTTTATTGATCAGGTTTTATTATCTGGATAGTCTTTTATTGCATGTTCGTGTCTGTATGCTTAGCATTCTCTTTGTTTGTTTGCTTACCTTTGTCTTACTATGCAGGGCATCTGCTGAAGAGGCAATACAAAGGACCCATGGAAGCATGATTGGTCAACAAATTGTAAGGCTCTCTTGGGGTAGAAGCCCAACAAGCAAGCAGGTAAGCGTGATGCCTTTTGGCTGCTGTTTGCTGTCTTATGTTTTTTTTTCTTTTTTTGGTCAAGTTCGTCCATTTTCAATGTTATTTCTGGCAACCACTTGCTCTTATTATTTCTTCTTACTGGGAAGAGCTGGGATAAAACAGACCATAACAAGGATTATTTGTAAGTGGAAATGAACTTTTGCTTAGCTTAGTTTTTTCAAAAGCTGTAAGGAGCACATAAGTGTCATATTAGGGGTGCATTTTGTCCGGTTACAGTTTGGATATAGCATTTATAATATCTGTATCTGCTTACTGAAAACACGTGCGAATATGGATACATATTTCTTTCAGTAAGGAAAAGTCATTATCATATTAAAAAATGGAAATGGATATAGTTTGGATATTCACGAGTACGGCTACGGGTATGAATCGGATACTTGGAAACAGATATCACTTGGATATAAGAGAAACCAGATATTTAATTGCTCTATTTCGCATCAACGAGATGAAATTTAACTTTTAAAATTAGTGCACAATAGTTAACGCTAACAAGATAATCAATTGAACATGAAAATAAAAATACTTGCAAGTACTTTGTACTTCAAAGGAGTTTCATATCAACTACAAAACTGAGATGTTGTTTCTAGCAATTGAACATAAATTTGATTTAATAACAAATCAAAAACTTGGAAAACAACAAATTTATTAGTAGCATGTCAAAAGAATAAACAAAACAAAACAAATATGTTAGTTCCAGATAACTGACCCTTGTAAAAGATATCAAATATGGGGAATTCCTTTTATTTTATTTTATATTATTATTATTTTTTGGGTAAAGGAATTGGGAAAGACAGACTATGGGAAGAGAGGAAAGCTTTTGTCTTGAAGTGGGCACTTTTCGTCCTTTTTTTTGGAGCCTCGAACAGCAGCTGAATGACTAGACGGTAAAAAAGTCATGCGAATTTTTGAGGGCTTTTATAGTGGAGGGCTTTTAAATTTGGGTGCTGGGTTGTTGATTCGTTAAATGACCTGTTCACATCCGCATATCCGGGTTAGATTGGATCTTTTTTAACAAATTTGCATCTGGAACCAGATCCAATATAAAACTATATAGGTTATCTGTATCCGGATCTGACCGGTTCAAAACTTTCCTATCCGCATCCGAATTGCATGCAATTCGGATACGGATGCAGAGCGGGTCAGATTATCCGGACCATTTTGCATCCATATATAATATAGATCATTGTAGCTATTGGGCATAGTAATTAGTTCAATTGTTAATAATGTCGTTTAATTGTGGATAGCGTATTATTTATCTGTTGCATTATATGGATATATAACTTGGATTCTTCATGATGTCTAGAAGTTCTTGGATTAGATTGGCTTAAATTGTGCCATCTTCCCTGATGTCTATTATACTATAGTTGTGAATTGTGCACTTTATGTCACCTTTATTCTTCTCTACATTTATTACCTACCTGACCACTGAATTTGCATCATAAAACAAACATGTTCTTATTATAAACCTGTATGTAATTTGTTTATGATTGACCATATATTTGCATCTATTTTATGTGTAATGAAGAGTTGATGTCTTAAAGATTACTAAACGTTCTTACCGGTTTTCAGGATCAACCTGGTGCCTGGGGTCAACAAGCCGATCCAAACCAATGGGCATATTATGGTTATGGCTATGATCCTTATGGTTATGCAACCGCACAAGATCCATCTTTATATGCATATGGTGCTTATGCTGGATATGGGCAATACCCTCAACAGGTAAGAATCATATAACCTATCTAATTGGTTAGGGACTTTATTTTGAGGAACATGTTATTTAAGTGTTGGAGTAGCTATGTTCGTCGTGAATTTTTACATGTTTTTGTTACGTCAATTTGATAAATTTCCAACAAGTTTTTCCGAATTGTATGTTCAATTGATATTGGATTTTTATGCTGTTCTTCTGTTTGAATCACGCAATATGCTAAACTAATCAAGGGAATTCAAAATCCTTTGTTTTTGAAACAACCTCATGTTAAAGCACATGCTTGTAATTGTTTTATGTTGATGACTTCTTATAACTATTTTCTTTGTCCTTTAAGTTACATTTCCACTGATTTGGGTCTTGAGGGCAGTTATGTTGACATTGTTTATTCATTTGATCAGGATTCTGATGACATGCTTGCTTTCCCTGGCTTTTGTGGAACTGATCTGGGGAATGCAACTTCCCTTGTTTCAACACAGCTGGATGTTATTGTGCATGCTTGTTGTTTTTACTCAATGAGTTCTACAAATATCTTGTTTTCCTCTAAGGGGCTGTTTGGTTGGTTTCCTAAAAATCAAGAAAAGGAAAAGGGTATATGGAAATCAATAAAATATTATTTTCATCCATTTCCATCCCTAAAACTCACCACAACATCCAATAAATATTATTTTCATCCCACAACTCATCTCATATCATCTCCTAAAAATAAACCAAACACAAGAAATGAGTCACATCATCCAACTCATCTCATCTCCATCGCATCTCATCTTTAAAAATCACTCACATCATCCAATAATATGGTGACAACTTATCTCATCTCATTAACATTTCATTTCCACCCATTTCCTCCATAAATGCTAGGAAATCGATTTCCTTAAGTGTGGGTCACATCATCCAATAATATAATGACAACTCATCTCATCTATTTTCTTATTTTTATGAATGAACCAAACACAAGAAAAGAACCTATTACAGGAAATAAGTTTCTTATAATTTATTTTCTTATTTTTTTAGCCAACCAAACAACCTCAAAACAAATTTTCTTAAAAAATCACCCACATCATCCAATAATAATGTGACAACTCATCTCCCATTCTTTGATTTTCTTCTTTTTTTAGCCAACCAACCAATCTCAAAACAATTTTTCTTAGAAATAGGTTTACTATTCTTTGATTTCCCTCTTTTTTTAGGCAAACAAACAGCCCCTAATTCATATTCTCAACAGACTTTGGGTCTTGAAAGTAACCATTTGGATGATGTTTCTATTATGATAGTTTAGACACCATGACAATGACATATTGCTTTCCTGCTCTAGCCCAAAGAGAGGAGCATAAACATACATCAGGAAGCTTGTACGCATAAGACTTATGTGTATAGATGGAACAAATTTGGCAAAAGAGTATGAAACAAATTTGGCAAAAGAGTATGACCCTCAGATTACAATTGTAAAACTATTGCTCACCTTTATCTGCTCCATGACGTATAACTAGGGGTGTTATCGGAGCGGATACGGTTCGGATATGACACTTACCATATCCATATCCGTTTTTTATAAACGGATACGGATACGGATCATCTTCGGTAAGAAATAACATTAACCATATCCGCACTTATCGGAAACGGATACGGTTCGGATATTTAAAAATCGGATCGGATATGATCACGGATATAAACGGATATTCGACAAATATATATGAAAACAATTATCAAACATATATATGTGCATTAATACTAGAAAGATAGAAACCTCCGTTCAAATGTTTAGACAACGAAACTACAAGAAAATGCTTTACATGCTTGATATCCAAATTCAAAAAAGTAAACACTCAATAAGCGATGGCAATAATGAGAAAAAAATCTCGAGTAAAATACAACAAAATACACATTTGTACGAGTTAGTGGGTACATGAACACTCAACAAACTAAAAATTATATGCCTATATAATTTCTAGAATTCCAAACAGAGTTATATTGCTTGACAAATGAGCATAAAGTAGACAGATACTAAATTATATGCACATATATTTATACATCATAACTTGCTAAATCAATCTATACATGAAATAACTTATCTCTACTTAGCAAACTAATGGTAGCCATAGAAGTTCACTGGAAATCTATAGAAGACTGTACAACTATAAATGCTTTGTGCCTTTATTTAATAAGGACAACTAGAAGGAACTAGCTTGCAAGCATGAAAAATTGATTGCCAAGGAAGCAGAAGTTTCATCAATGACTTTGGATCAGAAATAATGGATTCTTGCTGCAGGCAACTTAAATAAAACAATGGTTTTGGATTACAAGTAATGCGTTTCTTGCATCAACAATTAAAATAAAAAAAATAATCAACATTAATAAGAACTAGTTAAACTTAACAATGTTTCAATGTGTTTAATCAATGAAACTTAAATCAGGTGAACGAAAAATTATCAGATTTATATGGATAACACCATAAAATTTCTCATGCAAATCTCACGAAAAATTATCAGATTTATATGTAGCATTCATATATAGCTTGAAGGGAATATAGTGTACCAAAAGCTTAAGTAAATGAACAATATCCCTTTACTAAGGTCGAGAGAAGAAATGACACGACCCTCTTAGCTTACAACGCGACTAACGCCCAAACACACAAAGCATGGACACCGCCAAAAGAGACGACAGGAGAAAAAAGGGCTGGAAAAAACCCGGCGAAAATGAGGCGGGCGAAGAGCTCAACCACGACGCCGGTGCGAAGAGGCCGAAGTGGCTGGACACTAAGGTAGACAGACAAAAGGCTGACAGTGGGTGACAGCGACGCGCTGGACCACGGATACCTGACGGCTAGATCCGACGAAAACGAAGCTGAATGAGTTTTGCACGGCACCGATGACGAACGACAAACGGAGAATGGCAAAGACGAAGAACGGCGAAGACGATGAAGACGGAGACTGGAGAACGGAGGATTTGACGAACGGAGACGGATGCTGGAAACTTTAGTGGCGGCTGGAGGTAGAAGAATGGAATGGGCTGGGAGTTTGGGAATAGGGTTACAAACTTACGGGTTTGGGTTAGCGGTTACGGGTTTGTAATTGTAATTTTGGGACCCGAATCATTATTACATTTGCGGATATCCGTATCCGCAATCCTCATATCCGTTTCCGAATCCGTATCCGAAAAAAAATCCGAAACTAGATCCATATCCGTATCCGTATTCGCCCGGTTTCAAAATTAGCTTAACATATCCGCATTCGTTCGGATACGGATGCGGATCGGTTCGGATATATCCGAACCGTTTGGCACCCCTACGTATAACTAATATGCAAAGCAACAAGCGATGTCTTCATTTGACTGGTGGTTTCTTTCCTATTCCACCTCCTATGGTTTTATAACAGACTGATGAATGTAGACAATGTCATAATGCAAAATTATAGGCTTGGCTGATACAGGAAATTTTTGAGTTTAGAAAGACGAGAAAAGAACTAATAAATCAAAATATGCGCGTGTGAAGAAACTGTAGATGTCACTATCTTCTAGTTTCATATTTGGAGTAAGCGGGTTACAGGAGGAAAATTGCATTTGAAATAGTACTTTCTAGCTTTAAAATTTTTTTATTTGGAGAACATAAAAGATGGGAGTAATGCAGAAGGAATAGAGAATGGAGAGAGGTACATGAGGATCTGGCTTTTATTCGAACTGTAGTGCTAATCCGTTATCTTTTTTGCAGCCACATCATTGTAGAGTAATGTGATGCCACATCTAAAAGACCACAATAGAATTCGCTGTTCTAGTTTTACTATCAAAATCTTCAAGCTAGTACTTAGTAGAGCAGTATCTTTCTGAACTTGTGAGCTTTGATTTGAAAACTGGAATTCTCTGCCACGAATAGTCTTCTATTGAAAACTGGCTTCAAAAAAATAAAAGAAAACCATTGTTGACTAGCTGAGTCAATGATTTTGAAGCCTGTTATGACTTCAAAGTTTGGATATCGAAATTGTGATTAGAAATGAGAAATTTGATGATGTTTTAGTTTACGTGTTTGTTTTTTATGTTTTTTTAACAAATATTATATCAGGGCTTGTGGTGTAGTATTAAACGATAACAGTTCCTATTATCCTGTTAGTGTCTTCAAATATATGTCTGTTCTCTGTCCACATGAACATTATCAATGCATGCTGTTACCTAAACATGTATTCAAATATATTTAGTTGATGTGTTTGATTTTTATGTTTTTTAAACAAATAATATAACAGGGCTTGCACAGTAGTATTAAAGGATAACAGTTTTATTATCCTGTTACATGTCTTCAAATATATTTGTCTCTTCTCTGTCCACATGAACACTATCAATGCATGCTGTTACCTAAACAAGGACAATGAATAACTTCCAACTGTATAAGAGATAGTGAATCCTATTAGACCTGCTCTGTTTGTACCGTAGACCATTCAACCTGTGTATCCTTTACCCATACCACTAACCAAAGCATCAGGTGTTACTGTTTGAAGATAATTTTTTATTGCTTTTGTTAATGGCTACTTTGAAAAATCCAATTAATTGGAGTCGTTCATGCATATATAATAAGAGGGAAGTGGGCAAAAGTTTCGTCAAAACTACTTGAGATATTGAAGTATAAATGCGCAACAAATTTCTCTCTTGGCAATTGATTTCTTAAAAATTTCCCATCAAGCTTATAGTCTAAAAGCTCAATAATGTAGACCTATTCAAAGATTACTGTTTTTGTTGGTTATGGTGCGCATTATTTTTCTTTTTTCCTGGAAGTAATTTCAAAACATGAAAACATCCCTTTTGCATGTTTTTCACGTTGCTTTTCAGCAGAGTTTGTTCATCTATTTTATAATTATTAATCACTCATTATCTGGAGCTCATAAGCATGTTGAGTGCATCATGTCCAAACCTATTTGTGTGCTGTTATCGCTTGCACAAGTGCCACTAGGCAATGTTCTGGGGCAGTCCAAGGGTATGATCTGTGTTATTCATCTGATATCTGCGCCTTTATAAGACAAAGAAGAGATCATGCGACTGAAATCTTTTCATGTTTATCAACTGGTCTCCTTCTATTCAAGTACAAAATTGTAGTCATAGTTTAACCACTCGAAGCAACGCGAATGGGTATCATGATGAACAGCGGACTATCCATTGAGATGGTCCATATATGTATGTGTACTAGACTACTAGTACGTTTGCAACCTTGTATCAACTTATATCCTGTATCTCTTACTGTTAATCTGTAGTAGTTTGCTTCATTTGCCTTGACATTGAAATTTATTTCAACCACTTGATGTGGTAAGGGGACCATAATGAATTTATGTGGTGTATCCATTCTAATTGTTTCAGATTTATATTCAAATAAATTTATATAGTATTAAATGCCTATGTATATTTATAAAAAGTTAAGTTGAATCAAATCCATAAATCGTAAGCTTCAGCTGCTGCAGATCTCATTGAACGTTGATAATTCTCGAGCACACTACTATGAAATAAGAGGTACCATATATGGGGAGAGTTAAAGTCCAGTTAGTGAAAGGGCCATGCCGATTAGTCTATATATTAAGGAAATCACCTATTGTGATGAAATGACATGAGTAATCCATTCTGATAATAAATTTACTACTAAATACTAATGATGAATAAAAGGAGAAGGTATTAACACGTACACCTCTTTTACATAGTTATATTGATTTCGAAATTAAAGTGGCCACTATATTCACCTAGACTGTGGCTTGGATGGCACTATACCTGCATATACTTACATATTTGTGCATTGATTGTAGACTGTCCCGGAGGGAACATTAGTGTATTGAATGAAAAAAAGCTCTGTTTTTTCCGGTTTTTATAGTCAGAAAGTTTGACTGGGGAAGTCGAAGGAGTGCAGTTCTAGCATCAACCTTGTTCCTGTTTAAAAGTTTGGTGGGGAAGCAGAAAAGCAGTTTTCAGACTAACGTATTACTGCTTGGTATTTTGGTTTTGCTTAACTTGTATTTTCTAATCTTTACAGTTTTATAATGGCATAACATAGAGTTCCAATGTTAAAATGTAGTCATGGTTTACAGGCATAACCACAGCCATGTCATCCGGAGTTTTGCCGTATTATTTAAAATAATCAGTAATCCTTTTAAGATACTACGTAATTTTGACATATTTCAGGTTGAAGGTTTGCCGGATATGACAGCAATGGCAGCTGCAGTGCCGACTGTGGAGCATAGAGAGGAACCCTACGATCCATTGGCTATACCTGATGTTGATAGGTCAGTAGCATCAATTATTCTCTGTTATCATTTTGTTATCTTGTATTTATCAGCATAGCGATTCTTCTGTTTTTTCAGATTGAATGCTTCTTACCTTGCTGTTCATGGAAGTTCGTTACTGGGAAGGCCTTTATGGTTGAAGACATCAGCTCTACCTCAGCAAGCTTAGCTTTTCATGTGCTAGTCTTCAGTTAAATGTTCGCTATTTTCTCAAAGGTTTAAATGGTCTCTGCTTGTTTAAGGGAGTCTGTGAACGAGGGGCGACGTCCACAAGTTTGCTGACAACATCTTGCCAGGACGGATGAAGATGAAACTCAGGCCTTCTATGTACACAAAGCTTATGAACACGAAAATCAGGCCGACTACAGTGTATAATGGGTGTCACCTGGACTAGTCGTCGTATTCCCCAGTAATATTCTGTAGTCAACATGTATTATATAATCAAATCTGCGTACTGTCATGGTGGTATGTCTGGTTTGATTCTCTTCATCAAGGTTACAGATTAGGTGTTACTTTCTCTAGTTATGTAAGAGCCACTGGTTAGAAGTCTTCTAGAAAATTGAAGAAGCATAGAGCACTTTTTGTATGCGCCCAACTTGGCTTGGTTCTGAAATTGATGATCCCCGGCAGAACATAGTGTAATGCTATTATTCACTTCAAGTTGATGTGCTTCCAGTTATTTTGAAGGGAATGGTGATGCTAACGTAGTTTCCATCACCTTTGCGAGTAATTCTTAGGCAGAACTTTGTTGGTTCACATCATGTTACTCAACTACCTCCTAGTTTGGCATGAAATTTTTGTAAAAGTTTGGCTACGTTTGCGGTCATGCGCTTGTACTCTATATATTCCTTATGGAGAGAACAATCAATTAACTTGTACTCTATATGAGAAAAAAAAATTCGTGATCCAATCATGAAACAACAAATAAATCCATCATATATCCATGGAAAACTTCGTAGCATAGTAGCTAACTCACGTACCTCATAGTTTCGCAGTCATAATAACGGAGGCAGAACTAATTAATCTAGTCTGTCAAAATGGTGCGGGAAGCTACATCGCGCGCGCGTACGGAGAATCGATCCCGTCGACCGACTCGGTCTGATGTCCCTAACGAACCCCGGATCCGTGGACCGTGACCCTCACGTGCGCGCGCACGTGAACTCAGCTCCCGCCCGGCGGTGGGCCCCACAGAGACCTCCAACGGTCGAGAAACTCTCTAACGTTTCTGAATAATATTGCCCTCTTTAAAGGACTGGACGCCTCCTCCCCCAACGTCTCTTTCCCCCCCTCGTTCAAACTCTCCTGGTCTCTTACTTCTAAACGAACTAAAAAATCTCGCCAGCGCCGCCCGATGGAGCCCGCCACATCGACTGAAGAACATCATTCCGATTCATCAGGGACGAGCTCTACGAGCACATCAACCCCCCAAGTGCTCGACCTCTCCGCCCCCGACTCCCCCCTCGACGCCGCCGCCCGCCGCCTGGTTCTTGCCGCCCAGACTGCCGCCACCCGGAGACATTCCGAAGATTTTCGCGAACCCTCTCCGTCCCCAAAACCAACGAGGCCGAACACCCAGAGGTACGCTCACCATTTCGGCCCCGCTTCTTGACTTGCCCCCTTTCGTTTCTTGATTTGGTGTTTTTCTTCGTTCTCTGTCCCAAGCTTGAAGAGGCGAGGAGGGGGGGTCGTGTCTGTACTGCTGCCGCCTTTGCCGGCTAAGGACCCTGAGAGCGGGGGTAAAGGGAAGAGCAAGAAGTTTAGGGAGGATTCTGAGAATCAAGATCCTAACGGTGATGCCTCCGGGCCGGTGAAGGCGGCTTCGAAGGCAGCGGTGAAGTCGAGCGCCCGAGCAAGAAGCATGGCCGATGCAGGGGAGGAGGAAGTGCCGAGGCTGAGGAGCACGATGTCGCGCGAGGAACTTTTGTTCTCGGGAGGGATGTTTGGGCAGATATCGAGTTCTGTCAGGAGATCAAGAGTGCTCGCGTGCGGAGGAGAAGAGCTCTGCGCCGGCCGCGGCGCGGAGAGGTGAAGGAAGTGAGAAGGAGTGGAGGTGGCGAGAGAGAAATTCTGGTGACAAATCAAATTTGAAGTAATACAGAGCTAAACATAGTGTTTGAGGTCTTTAATTGCGCCCCTAAATTTGCTCAAATGGCCACCAAAAAAAAAAAAAAAAAAAAAAACCCATGTTAGCATAATAGTTTAGTCCCACATTTGACTAAAGGAGGCTCTATAATGCATTTCATGCTTGAAACTGCACTAATAATCTCATCATACATTTGCTTCACCAAATATGTATACATAGTAGTATTAGCTTCTCTTTAAAGCTTAGTTTACTGTCGTAATAGCAGAGACGCTATAACTGTAGGCAATTCTATCGCTGCAGAGAAAATGATGGACCAGCAAAAAGCAGCAACGAGAAGTTCTCAGTACTGAAAGAAGTGAGAGCATGCCCCCCTACTCCTCAGAGGATCCCCTCCCCTTCAAACCGCCGCCCTCGCAAAGCCGGAACTAATCCTGCAAGCTCTCCTCTGAGTAAACCTCTCAAACCTAAAGTAAGTCCTAGTAACTGATCTTGGCTTTTTTTTATGTGATTGATTCGAGGATTTGATTGTAGTGCAACATTTAAAACTTCATTGTTTACATCAGGAGAGGGGGATACTGAAGGAGCTGGATCAGAGGAAAGAGGAGGAGAAGAAGCCATTGGTTTCTAAAGATGAAGAATGCAACAGGGCTACTGATGTTGGTCATGAGGGAGGTGAAGGTAGTTCGATGGATATGTTTTGGTTCTTCAAGCCTTGCACTTATTTGGTCAAGTGAGTGAGTTTTGTGTTCTCATGAATTGATATGATACAGTGGTAAATTACTGAGAGACTGGGGGATACATGTTCAAAATAATATATAGGTGATTCATTATTTGTTTTAAAAAAAATCCATAGTTTTTTTTAAAGGATGTGTGAAATTGTTACCAATAGTTGATAGGTGATTCGTTATTTGTTCTGAAGGATGTGCGAAATTGTTACCAATTCGTTATTTGATTCGTTGTTTGAAATCAAGTGTAGTGTTCTTTATAGGTTCTTGATTACATAAGGGAGTTATTCTACTTCTTGAATGATTTCAATCACTTTGATGTCTCACTTTCGAGTTTATTTTGGTGTAAATGTTCTTTTTGGTGGTCATAAAATGTACTTCTCGAATGATTTCAAGCGCTTTGATGTCACACTTTCGGGTTTATTTTGGCGTAAAATGTTCTTTTTGGTGGTTACAATTGCATATATTAGTCGGAAGGCTTACGTTTATGACCAAAATTTGAGTATCACAGAAAATTCAAGCTTTTAAGTTTAGGTCAAAAAATTTCTTATAACGCTTCCATTTGAGGGAAATGCAATCAACAATTGCAATATAGTGTAGCTGTGGAAGGCTTGTAGGGTATCATCATTAATGTTATGGACAATAACAATTGGCACTTTTCCTACTACTGCGAACCCTATAAACTTTCATGAACAAGGCTTAGTGCAATATATCAAGATCTGAAAATTTCTAATCATTGAATTATTATTACCTTAGTAACTCCTTATTACATTCCTTCTTTGTATTATTACCCTTCCCTTGTGGGTCAATTGCACATATACTTCATGTAGTATGGTATTGTGGAACTTATTAGCCATGTAGTTTGATAAAATTTGACATAAATATAACTGTTTATTAAAAAGAAGGCTACAATACACCTATTTTTCTTGAGGTATTCCTTTTATTAAAAAATAATAATTTCATCTTTAAAAAATATTTTGGTGGGTAACATGCACCTCCATCACCTAAGTTCTATTTCATTAGTACATGCATTTTCTAATTCCGTGATAGCACAGCTCATAATTAATTTTTAAATGTTAGTAAGAATCGCATGATGATAGATTAATTAGAATTAGAAACTTGTTAAAAGGAACGTTCATAAGAGATTCTCGTATGAGTTTTAGATTTAACCAAAAAGATAAATGAATCACATGACACAAAACAACATATATATTATTAGCGAAATAAAAATAAAAATTAAAATAAAAAACATTACCTTTTTACCACACTCATGAAGTTCCAATGGAGTTTCGTCTATTTTTGTAATAAAGATAAACGATAGTATAAGATATTGTAGGTTGAATATGATGATGGTGAATTTTTACAGTAATTTATTAGAGAAAGTGGCTATGAGTTGAGAATTTAAATGGGTTTGTATGAGAATTAATATGTTAATGATGGGTTATAAAAGTATAATTTAATTCATAATATTATTTGGGGGTTCTAAATAGTGAATATTTTTTATCGCTTCATTAATACGGTACAAATATGACTTTTCATATTATCAATATTATCATATTATTGATTTGGATTGTAAAGAAATAGATTTTTAATATCCAAAATTCTAAAAAGTTATCATGTGGCAACTACAGGACATCGCTTTCGTGTATAGATAGATTTTAGAAGAAATTTTCAAAAAAGACCCAATCCACAAAAATCAACGCATTCCAAACTTTATTACAGAAATTGATCTAGTTTCTGGCCACATCAGCATCGTGGCCAGAAATTGGGCCGTTTTAAACAAAAATCAAATTCTTAATTAGTTGGGGTTGACAACCCCAACTAATAAGGACTACCCTTTACTATCCTTAGAAGCTCTTCGTGATTAGCAGAGCTAAAAAAGCCGGGGTTGCGAAACCCAACTATTTTGCTAGGGGTTCCTAACCCCGACCATTTGGCAGACCGTTTCTCTTATGGTGCACGAAATGGTTAGTGTTTCTAACCTCGACCATTTGGCAGAAACCCTCCCCCTTTGGTGTACCCTTGGGACAGAAATGGTCGGGGTTTCCAACCCCGATCATTTGACACAGACCTTCCAGCGCACAGACTTGCTAAAAAATCTCCTCTCCATTTGACAGAGACCTTCCAGCGCACAGACTTGCTAGAAAATCTCCTCTCCTGCTAACATATACCAATCCTCGATTAAAATTGTCAAGTTTAACACAAACTCTCTTTCTACACGTATATCAATCCATAATTAATTTCAATCACAAATAAACACATATCTTTATATCTATATTACATCTATAACCAATTTCAAACAAAAACATAACATGTAACTCACTAAAAATCTAATCATAATCATAGCGTCCAACTAGCATTTCAAACATAAACATCACCAAACAAGCAATATTGAAATTTAACAAATATTTAGAACTCACTTTCCTCTCGCTCTTCCTCTTCTTCCTCTCCCCCTTCCCAGTTCGCTTTCAACATGATCTTGGATGATCTCATCGTCCGGTTGTGTGTGAACTTGTGAGCGCATAACATCCTTGTCGACTTGTACCTGCTGTGAACATCTGGCTTGAGCCTGCTATGAACATCTGGCTTTGTCATGTGCACGACTTGAGCCAGCCCTCGTGCGTCCTCGGACCCGTTGATGCTCGTACCCTATGACTCGTTCGTGACGTCCATCACGATTTGCATGACGTGTCTTTCTAAGAGTGAACCGAATCTTTCCTATGATGCGAACAAATGCGTTCCTTGCCCCTGGCTTGGTAGTCGATCTTAATGCATCATGTGCAATAGAAACAACCTCATCGAGTTCTTGTACCTATAAGATAAAAAGCGGAAGAGGATTATAAGCAATTGGATGATAATAAAAATAATAATCACAAAATAATTGTATATTTTGCCTATCTACTTACCAATTCTCTCTCAACTAGACCTCTCGGTCTGCTTACCAATTCTCTCTCAATTGGACCTCTCAGTATGTACTCCTTAGGTGCTTTACTCTCACTAAATATCCATCGGTGAGTTATCCCCTAATACTAACGTAAGTACACATCTAGCTCTGGTGCGTCAGCTCTCTCCATCACTACAACATCCTTCCTCAACTCCTAATTCTTAATGTAAGATTGACGAATTATCTCCCAATTTTAGTGATGTGCTCATTTTCAGAAATTTCGCTCTATTCTTTCTACATGATCTAGAATATGTTGCTTTAATCCAAATTGTCGAAGCACACGATCGAGTATGTGCATTTAGACAATCTCAAAATATATAATCGGTACTCGGGCACGCCATATATCTTCACCATCTCTACAAATATCTGGTAGTGAAGCTAAAACCAGTTCATAGGGCATCCACTTGACCTATAAAGAAAATTATGAAATTTTTTACATATCAGTAACATATGATATATTGATTGAATATAGTTAGATATTATGATTTTATACATGTTCATCCTCCATTCGATCAAGCTCGTTTATGCAAAAATTTTCATGACCCTTTGGGGAGGTTTGCTAATATCTGGAAACATTCCATCTATCTAATATATAAAGGTTTAGTATAGATTGAAATAAATGTATAAAATTATATGTAGTCATATATATTAAAAACTAATAGACCTCATCCTAATGGAATCCCACCATCGAGAATGCGGGTCTCCCTCAAATCTGGTGTTCCCAAATGCCATCACTCCCATGACCATATTTGTAACAAACTGAGGCAACCTTTGAATTTTTTATTTTGCACGAATGCCGCTTTTGTCATCTACCTATAGAGATAAGCTAACATTACACTCCCCTAAGATAATTCTCCACACTCCTCAAGATTTTTAAGAAACGACAACCATCTAACATGCACTGAATCCTTAGTTAAATCCAAAAATAGAATGGTATTGATCATATGGAGTATATACGCACGGTCGAGCATAGCTCTTGACGATCTCATCAGTTGCATTGATCGGTACATTCATGTAATTATTTCATAACCACTTGAGATTGATCTTACCATCCTTCATACTAGGAGCTTGACCCAGTAATCTTTCACACACTCCTCTCCAGTTGAAGTTATCGGTACCCGTAACAGCATCTCCATCCACTTTGAGGTCAAGTAAAACTCCTACATCCTACAGAGTAATAATTGACTCTCCTTGATGCATGTGGAATGTATTCATCTTGCACCTCCATCATTCAATCATTGCCATCAAGAGAGCCAATCGAGTCTTACCCATTTTATTTGTGAACATTCAAAAAAACCTGCTTGACGAACATAATATTAGACTTATGGATCCGTCAAATCTCAACTCAAATGTGCAAGAGTATGATCAACAATAGTAATACTCGATGCCTACATATATTAAACAGTTCAAATGATCACGTAATAATAGTAACATTAAAAATTTAAAATGATTGAAAATAATAAAAAATTTACCTCTCCTGATTCTCTCTTCGTGGATCGGTGTCAACGTTAGTCATATAGGACCTCATATGTCATTGGCCCCGCCTGCATACTGTAAATATTTGCATATATAAAACTAAAATGTATCAGTATTATGCCATATGATAAATTGAATTAGAAGTAGATTATAGAATTTAAGAGTATTCATTGATTTATAAATGAAGTAGAATAAAATAATAAATTAAATAAATTGCACCCATTAATTGCTATCTATTCGAATTATTAGTACAATGAGATATTATGGCTCGGTTGTTTGCAATATCTACACCTATTTTTCTTTGGAGCTTCTTCTCGTCCTTCATCCATCGTACTTTTTATGTGTGCTGATCGCGGACGTCCGACTTGTCTCTTATATTTAGGAGGTAACACATGTGGTTCATTATAGGGTGGCCAGTAACGACTATCTACAATGAGATAGAAACACGACTTGTATGAATCTATATAGTGGCTTGATTGATACCACTTAGAAGCGTACGTGTAATACGAAGTATTTGCACCCCCAAATTGTTTGGACGAAACTGCTATAACATGCGGACGTGGTATTTTTGCAATTGTGGTATGTTGTAAATGCATGCGTATTATGTCCCTCGTAAATTGACGGTGTAATTATGACCGTATTTGTCTGTAGTCTGTCATTCATCTATAGCAAATCTAACAATCTTTGTTGATCTTGCCATTCATCTATAGCAAATCTAACAATCTAACAATCTTTATTTTTTGGTGTCAATAACGTCACCCACTTTGCTCCATCCTCTAGCCGCTTGACAAAATAGTGATTGAGTCTATAAAATATCATTGCAACCAACGCTTGTATGGACATTGCTCGAGCTCCCTTAAGTACACCGCTGAAACTTTCAGAATAATTAATTGTCATCGTGCAAAACTGATTCCCTCC